GCGAGCTCCCAGGCTCAAGTGATACTCCTGGGAGTAGACACAGCCAATAATATTGTCCCCCATATGTTGGGGGGCTCTTGCAATCTGTATTTGATATGACGGAATCTGCCATGGACCTCACACTTCAGAGCCGAGCTGCTGGGCTTGGTACAAGGGTTTAAATTCCCCCTTAAGTAGATAGAATATGGGGTGTATGGAGATCTTATTACAATATACCCAAATCCATATTCTATCTACTTAAAGGGGGTCTATATACTTCCCCTTCTTCCGAAGCGGATAGAAAATGCTTACGCTTCACTCCATTACCTTCCTCTCCCTCGGGTGAAGTTCCCACTGCAGGAGCGTTACAAGCTACGTTCCGAGCGAAACAGCGGAGGAGCGCGCTTTGAGGCATCTGAGCAGCTAGGGTCTTCTTCCTGGATCCTGAATGAGATTAGGGTTTAGTGTTTAGAATTTGGGGTTCAGGGGTTAAGGGTTTAGGGTTCCGGGTGCTGTTGGACAGTCTACCAGGTATACAGCTACCTCAGAAACTTCGAAAGTGGTGAGGGAGAGTTGCGTCAGAACTCTTCATGGACGCCACTGCCCGGAATTTTGAATTTCTCGAGAACCTGGGGTCAAGATTGCAAATTGAGGCCAGAATGTGGGAAGAGGGACTCGGAGCCGTAACCTCTGTTACCACAAGGTCCATGACACTCTCGATGCCCATTGAAGATGGGTCCATAGTTTGAGCCTTCCACAGGGTGCGCCGCAAGCTTCGTGTTTAGCCTGACGGCGGCTGCGCATGCAGCAAACCAAAAGGAAAGACGGCAGTTTTCTGACATGTTTCGGTTGGCCATGCAGCAAAAAACCTTGAGACAGCCAGGACCTTCGGGTTTAGCCTTTCACGGTCGAGGGTCTAAGCTTTGGGGGTTGGCTGGGCTAGTTAGCTGCCCTAAGAAATGTGATCAGGTGCAGCTTTATCAAAAACGGTTCCAAGGCACGTCTTGACCTGCTGGTTAGTAAGGAGTCACGGAATATAATCCCACATAATATCTTCCCTTATTCCTTACTAACCACCAGTAAGTATATGACAGGGTTTGTAAAGAGCTGTCTTTTGCAGGGGTTACTCGACTTTAGATGGAAAAATTGCTATGATGCCCAGGTTCAAGCGGTTATATCTAACGGTTGTGAAATCAATCTCGGATGTGACCACAAACCATAGTAGCGACTGCCTGGAGTTAAGCTCAGGGGCTACATTTCGCGGGATGGGAATCCCCTCTTGCTGCAGTGGGGGTGAGTGCCCTCACACTGCCCATTCTCTGGATTCACAACGCCCGAAAATCAACAAGAAAACAAAGCCGCGACACCCCTCAGGTTGTCAAAGATGTCGCGGCTGGACAAGACCCGGGAGTTCTTGCAGTCCAATGTGTACGAGATGATCATGGCCGTCATCCTCTGTACCTTGATAGGATGTTTAGGGTGTCGGCGTTCGTTGTAGGGCTTTGAAAAGTCGGGATGGGCGTTGCAGGTTAGGTTTCCCGATTTAGGGTGAGAGGTTTAACAGGGGGGCTAGGGGCTGTGCTGCCTTCTTCGGCCATCACTCGTGCCAGGCGCTCTATGAGTAGACATCGACTTTGAAGTTGCCCGAAGTTGGGAAATTAAGGTGTTGGACGCGATTGCTGCAGGTACAAGGTTTGTTGGGAAGCGGGGTCAAAGGTTTGTGGCCTCAGGGAGATGGACCTGGGAAGTGTACCACAGCATCTTTGGTAGAGTCATCTAGGGGCTGTCAAAATCATTCCTACCGCAAAAAACGTGTATCGCCGCATAGAATAGTATAGGTGAGTTCACTGAAGCCGTATGGTCAGGGTCCTATACTTGGATTGCTACTAAAGTATTTCTAATACATACAGCTTAGGACCAGTATTCCATGTGAGCTTACATATGAGCAGTGGAGAAGCTCTTTCAAGCTCCTCACAAAAGCACTAATTGCTTCCACTCGCTTCTCCCTATTGATACCCCCGAATCCTAACAACAAAAAGCCTTCCCACAGAACCCAAAATGCTGGAAGATTACTGCTAAAGAGACAAGACTGCTCCTAAAGGGGACGATAATAAAGGAATCTATAGAAATCTTGCCATGGTTGAGAACGAGTTGGTTTTGAAATGATTGGATTCCGAATGGGACCTTTCAGGCAAACCGAATAGTGCCTCACGCAACTTCCGCCACACAATGAAACCCCCAGGTGGGTTGTGCAATCAGAAAGGGGTCATGATTAGGGGAAGCAATTGGAGGAGGAAGGAGGGTATGAGTATAGGGCATAGGGATTGATCGAGACCCTCACCCCAAAGGTCCTTCACAAAGAGATTCCGGCCCAGGCATCAACGTATTCTGGATGGCGTGCGAACTTCAGTTCAATGGCACAAGGAAAGCATACATGTTCCTTGGCTATGCTAGCATGAGCTGATCAGCAGTCTTGCTTCAGATAACGCACCAGAAAGCGTTTGGTCCGGATTCCCTAGAACGAAAAACTTGGGAGCCAGAGAAAGATATCCCAGCCCGGATTCTTGCCCTTCCTCATTTTCGTCTGCAGAGCGCTAGCTTCAGCGAGATTACTTCAGGGCCCCTCTAGAGGTGGATGTCTAGGGAGATTCTGGCATTTACTGTTGATGATAAACGGCTGTGGTTCAGGAAGTTCAGGGCTCAGAGTTCTTTACTTCTGCCAGTCCAGCCTCAACCCCAACCCTACCTCAGGAAATGTTGCTGGATTAATTGGGGTACTCCTGCTGTGAACGGGTTTACACCGTTGAGGTTGTAGGATTTAGAGTGTTACCTTTTTCGGCATAGCTCCGCTAATCCGTGCAACTGGTGGCAACCAAACTAGGGTTTAGGACTTAGAATTTTAGGTGTAGGATTGAGGGTCCAAGGCTTCAAGCTCTGGACTGGCACAGGGTCCCGACAAGATTTTGAAAAGTGGGGAAGGGCCGGTCGGGGGCGTGCGTAATTCAACCATACTTATATGGATATCGCAGCACGAGGCATGCATGACCGGCAGTACAGGCATAGCTAGGTGTGTTCGGGAGCAAGGCCGGGGTCAGCGAAACCGAACAGCAGACGAAGGCCTGAATTGCCTTTGTGTGGAGTTCATTCGTGCAGAACCAACCCCGAAACCAAGCTACAAGCTCCCAGACGAACATGGAAGCCCAAAAGGGCCCCTACCAAGACTACTGGCCCTTTAGCAATAGGGCTGTGGCTTGAATGTTTGGTGGAAGGCAACCATGTTTGTGGGAAGGCAAGGTAGACTGATGTCTGACCTCAGTCTTCAAGCAAAGGCCGCAATTGTCAGGCCTGGGCTAGATGCAAAAGCCTACACTACCAAACCAATACACGTCAACCCCAATTGAAAAATGATTTTTGGAAACCCTACCCCAACCCCTTTGGAAAGGAGATTAGCAAAGTCAGATGATAGTATGGGGGTTTTGTTTTCGGAGAAAGTGGCAACGAAAGCCCCCTGACTACGGATCCCCTTGAAGTGTACACGGCTTGGAAACCACTGCGTTGCTGTTAAGGAACTTAAATTAAGGTACTATATTGGGGAAACCCTATTATTTACTATATATAGCCATTATGGTAACTTAATTTAAGTCATTGTGTGCTTCAGGGCTCAACAAACACCCCAGGTAAAACTTGTGCTTGAGCAGCCCTTCTAGAATGGCTGGAAACAGCCTTTCATTACCACATTATATATAAATATATAACTACCCTCTATATATATATCAGTTTCCAGTTCATTTTCCATTTTCTTTTCCACTTGATTCTCCATTTTTGGTAGTGGTAAGTCGCAAATCAAGGCTCGAAATCTACGAGGGTGACTTCCTTTCGAACCACAATCTGGCAAGCTTTGAGACAGCGATCGTTGCAGGCGGCAATCGCGGAGAAGTAATTAGAATCCACGTGCTATCTTTTAATCTTTCAATTCTTACAGCATGGGCTTTTTCTTAAAGCATGGGTGTGTAGATAGCAACAATGATGCGCCAATACGCCACGGGCACATGGGGAATCCAATCGGGTTGTTGGAGAGGTGTAGGCATGTGGATTGCTCAGGGTTCAGGTTTTGGGCAAAAGCATTCTTATAGTAGTTTCCGTTTTCTGTTCCATTATCCCATGTATATCCCCTATATAACCCCTAAATAATCCCCATATGGTAGGGCTGAGTGTTGGGAATGTTGGAATTCTGCAACTCTAGACAGTTGAGTGCTTAGTTATGTTCGCGGCTACGGTGCAGGATCTTCTAGTTCCTTGCGGGCTTCCTGCGGAATCCGATGGTTTAAGAGTTTAGGGTTCACAACGGCTTAGAACCAGTGAGTGTTAGAGATATTTTTGTTGCTTGTATTTCAACTTCATTCTAATGCAGCATTTGTACCATAAATTCTGTTGTTGCGTAAGATAGGTCCCTTTGCATATCCGCTGAAAAGGATGATAGGCTTGATTTTTTCATAGGATATTTACACGGAGTAGGTGATCAGCTTTGGCATTTGATTGATCCAAAATGGCAGCCTACAACACGAGGTTCCGAATCTTGTTTGATACAAGCACTGCTTACAGCCTTTTCTGGAGAAACGGCAACACGTCCTCCCCCTTCTGTAGCCTTCAGCTCAGCGTCCGAATTCTGTAATAAAAGGCTACGAGTAGTTATCACCAGAAGTAGCCATCGTTGTTGTACCTATGAATTTCCAAGTAGGACAGGTCAGTGACGGTCAACTGCCATTTCCTTGTTCTGAGAATGAGCCGCTCGTGCACGACCATCACAAAAAAACTTGGAGAAAAAAGCACACACAGTGGAATTATTATGCTTTGCATAATAGTCCCTATCATACTCCACAGCGAGCTTCAGAAAGGCGTCAACAATCCTGTGGAAGTCAAATCCTGTAGAAATCAGTAAACCTCCGATTATTGTTCAACATGTCCTTCTTGCCTACAACCCAAGCCGCAAGCCCTAAACTGGAAACTCAACATCAACGTAGGCGACATTACTTTCACAGTCGTCTTCCTTGTGGACGTCGCTGGCTGTTGGTGAATATTTTTGCGCATTTTGTGTATACTTGAACCCAGAAGACGCTAACAATTTATCATTATACCTCAAAACATCCCAGGTTGTCGTTCGTATCTGCCTTCTGGGTCGACTTTTCTGGAAGAGCATGATGAACTACATTGACCTAGGCCGGGAGAGCATTCTCATTTCAAAGTGCAGGATAGAGGGGTCAAGGTTTAGGGGCTATGCAGGGTTTTGCGCGTGCTTGGGCGGTAAAGATGCTGAATTACAATGCTATACTTTCTGCCTTAAGTATGTAGAGCACCATTCACGCTCAACAGCTTGATCTATGTATGTTTGAATATTACATCGCCGGCTTGGTGCGCAAGATTTCCCTTGCGTTCCTGCTGGGGCGGCATCCTAGGCCTAAAACCTCCACACCCTACCCCTATAACCCCGAATCTTGGAGCCATGAACCCCGAACTCTGAACTCTAAACTCCTAAACCCCAAGTCCTAAATCCAAAATGCTCAACCCCCAAACCCTGAAGCCTACAACCCAAGTGAAGGGATGATGCAGGGCGTAGTGTGCAAAAAGCATTGACTGCAGCTGATTTGGCAGTGTCCGAAGATGAGGATCTGGAAACGCGTATACAACTCGTTGCAGTAGCCCAAACCGACACTGAACGCATGCAGACGCCTCACTAATACTTGGTGGGGACGAAGCTGAAGCTGAAGTTTCGGGATGAAAGCAGCAGTGGTTAAATTATCATGGAACCTTAATTTGTACAGGCGACTGTCCCTTTCAAGACGGAGCCTATACGGGCATGTCCAGACATGGAGGCTCTAATTTTTAGCAATCGCGATGCGACTGTTCCATATTTAGGGTAGCCCTAAGCATCTTCTGACCGCTTTGCAAGCAGGCGTCGTGATTACCTCTATGGTGGAGATCACTGTTGCCCGGCTGGTGCGATCAGGTGGCTGACATGCCCTAAACCCCAACCTGAAGCTTTCTTAATGCTCCGAATATCTCGGCAAATACTTGGGGGACAGCGAAGGTCCTTCATATGGACTGTTTGGGAATCAGTTGGAGGCAGTCGCAATTAACCCTAGACCAGAGGGGTCTTATTGTTCTGGCAGAGTGTCTTGAAAGCGGGCGCCTCTCATGCCCCTGCGACAAAAAACTAACGGCCCCGCACGGTTCAAGGCTTAGAGCTCTGGGTTTAGGATATTGTGCTACCAACACCTGATCTTCAAAATCCTTCTAGATTAAGGTATAGCCTCCAACACCGAATTCCAACTAAATTGGTGCCTACAGTGCAAGCCCTATAAAGCAACATGCAAGCCTAGTGTCCGTCTTTTTGCACTTTCTTATGATTCTTGTTCTCCATCATTCTAGTTTGCTAGGCCCCTACATCAATAGGGATCTTCGGTCCTTGCAATCGACGAAGCATCCTTGTGGTGCTTAAGGGAGAGCGGGGGAGTGAATGTAGGCTCCATTATGGGGACATTGGGGATCATATAGGAATTGCGGCCCCCCCTCTTCAGACTCCAACTGCCCTCCATTGCTGCAAGTCATATTGCATATAGGGCTTGGGCTTCAGAAGCAGAAAGCCTGCACGGCGAACCCAAGATATTGACTTAATGCGAAGCACAATTATGATGGTAATGATAGAGAAGGCAAAACGTCCCCCTGCATTATCTTGAAGAGGAATTCGCTTCAAGCCCATGTGTCCCTGAGCCTTAGCGGCTGAGGTGTTTTATGCGACCACGATGCTGGGTGTAATTTTTTGGGTTCCAAAAACGAGCAGATACAGGTGCTCGTATTTGGGTTCCTAGCATGGAGGACCTTAATTGACTTCCCCTAGTTTCGGGAATTAAGCTACCAGTTGAACCCCAAACGAATTCAGGCAAACTCCAGGTAGAATTTGGTCAATGTAAGCTGAACTCACCCCAAGTGATGGTGTTTGTAAGCCATGTTTCAAGGATTGTTTGGTTTTGGTTGTGGCTTTTTCTGGATTCGTCGTTAGACTCTTGCTGTTTTGCATCGAAGCCACCGGTAGGTAGAATGGAGGTTGGATGTTCAGGGATTAGGGTTCCGTGTTTGCAGGGTGAAAAGTTGAGGTTGATCCCTCCCAAAAAGGCTGGGGAACATGGCTCAAGGGAATTTGAGGGATGACCACATGGATAACCGATTACCAAACCTGCTGCCTGTGTAGGCAGACCCATGGCCTCCAGAAATCTACGCAATAGTTTCGCCCATAGTTGTTGGCATATTGCATGCCATGTCGTGTATGGGGTCTAAAAAAGTACGGAGATTATCCCTTCCCGAACTCCAGTACAACATCAGTATAGTATACACCAAAACCATATTCCAATCATTCAGGCCTCCACAGTGCTGAATGTAGGCCCTGCTTGGGGTCGTCATGCTAGCCTAAAGGGAGAGCTGTGCAGTGAACAGAAGGACTATCATCGGGGATAACATAGAGATTGGCATCCAAGCCTCAATCAAGCATGAAGGAAAAGAACCAAGTTAACAACCAGGTCATAACCGAGTCATATGATAGTCACACGGTCCTTGAAACAGGGAAGTGGGGCAACCAAATCCCCTTGTCAGTATCCCATGGCCATTGCGTGCCATGGGTATAAACAGCAATAGCATACGGCACCAGCAAGAACAAAGCTTGACCTTAAACCCAGCAGTAGTGGCAGTAGTAGCAGCAGCGGCAGCCGTAGCAGTGGAAACACTAAGCGCATTGCTTTAGTTCAGTCGCAGGCGCGTTGGAGATGTCAGGATTCCAAGCCGAATGCCAACCAGGGAGCCTGAATTCTTAGAGCGTATTTCTGCGACGTTGGTGCGTGGTATGCTTGCCTATAGTGTTCATGCTCCTGTGGAAACTCTGTCGGCAATCGCTGCCTGCAGCGCAGTAGAGGTGGGCCATTCATTGCCCAGAGTATCTACCACCTACCTGACAGACCCCAGCGAACCTCCAAGACAATGGGGGCTACCTTTGAAGCCACATTTGAATTGCTGAACTTCTGTGGGTGGCTTATTCTGGGGAACAATCCCCATAAAATCCGTTATAGGAACCTGTAACCTTTTGGCATTCCCAATTTTCTCTAGGGTCCCTCCTCAGGGCCCTCCCCTAGCTTGCTGTGAAATGCTAAGGATGCCGGTCAATCCCGTGTTGTTCCGGCTGCTGAGAATTGGAGCTTCGCCGGCATGAATAACACACTCCTGACCACGAGCAGGAGGTGTTTGTTCAATCCATAAGTCAATTCTGGCATTCTGGAAGAAGAAAGGACCCCAGACCACACCAATCATCGCGACTGAGGTTTCCAGACATTCCAATCTTAGATGTTTATTACTACGTCCCGGAAGACCTCAAATTTGACACGAACCGCTGCTCCCACATCAACATAGCTCATTCAGAGGAAACCTCCGATACCCAATTTCATGGCCCGCCGATCCCAAGCAGCACCAAGGAAGCCCGCGGAGACAAAGAACAAAGCAAAAAAGCAAACAAAAAAGTACGACTGTAAGCGGAAGAAGTTGCGGAGCCCCAACCCAGCCTTACCCGGGAGCGTCTCCAGGAAAACTTGCACGTGCCTTTCGGATGGTCCACATGACCTCTGCGCCTCGACGTACAAACTACCCTTTTGGGACTCTGGGTATATTATTGGGGTTAAATATAGGGATAATGGAAAAGAACATGGAAACTGCTATATTATAGTAGGTACTTATTGGGGTGAATATGGGGGTAATATACCCTTTTGGGACGCTGGGGGTCTAGGGGCGAGGGGCTTCGGGTTGAGGGGGATTAGTGTTTGCAACAAAGCCCCCCAGGGCACCAATAGCGAGTTGCACTTCAATATAGAAAGATACTACAGTGGAGAGTGTTGCTTTCTGGGAGAATTTCTGCATATGCGGAATCCCCCTGCAGGTTAGGCCATTCCTCCTGAGGCTCTCAGTCTGAAGCCTGACCAATACCGTGGCTCTAGATTTGGAAAGCAAGTGGAGGATAGGCCAAGATCCCAAAGACAAACCTTTTAACCCCAGACCTGCCCCCTCTACAGGCCCTAGAAAAGCATGACTCTGACTTTGCGAGATAGTCTTTGGCACGACCTCACAACGGGTGGTGCCGGTTTGTGCTCAGGCATGTATGTGTGTGTATATATAGATATATACATACATGTTTTTGCAAAATGCAGTGGCTTTGAAAAAGTGCAGTGCCCAAAACACAGATGAAATCCAGGTTCCAGAAATGCCTTGGTTCCATTTGATGTATCATCTACCTGGTGCTTGGCAGTGAACGGATTCCCATATTACTACCCATAGAATTCCCAACAAGAATCACAAAACCGATTCCTCCGTCCCCACCAACCCCGCCTGAGGCCAAATTTCATGTAGACGCTAGAGCTCTAAATATCAGCCCCAGGACCCTCTTAATTGATGCTTTGAAACGCCCTATACCCGGTGTTCATAAAATGGACTTTCACCACCACCTGGCTGCTGGAGCATCCAGAAATCACAAGGGTTCGTGTGCAAGAGACCCCTTAATTCTAGATATGGGAAGGTTTCCAAGAGTCAGGTCATTTCAGAACTTCAGATTCTGAAGACGTGAACACCGGAGCATGTAACTCAAGGCGCAAAGGATTAGCATCTGGGCTCCCGGTGTACGCAAGCTGACCATGGAGAAGCAGGAGAACCCAAGTCCCTACATCCCAAGCGCCGCCCAACCCGTTTGCTAAGGTGTTAGCGTCATTGCAGCTGCTGGTCAAGTGCCACATCCAAAAAGCTTGGAGTTCAGGGCTTGGGGTATAGATTTTACATGGACAACAGTCCAACACATCTTAGGGAAGCGAATGTCAGGATTGTCTGGGGGCCGAATCGATCGGGGCTGTATTTCTGAAGTTATGCTGGGATTGAACAGGGTTTGTGTTGAAAGTCACTTAGGGAGAAACGTTGGTCTCGTCGCAGGAGTTACCGTATCAAAGAACTGGTGGCTGCTGTTGCAGATAAACGGCGTGATGTCACCAAAACCCGTTCTACAGAAGCCAAGCCTTCCAATTCCAAGCCTATAGTCCAAGCCACCAACCCTCCATCTAGAAGGCCTACGCTTCAAAGACGTTCCAAAGACCAAGCAGAATCTAATGCTTTTTTGAGTGCAGGGTGCCAGGTTTGAAGGATCTTTTTTTGGTGTTGCGATTTAGAAATGTGTCCTTTCTTTCATCAAGCCCGTGTAAGAAGTCATGAAAGGCTTGTTGTAGCCTCATAGACCCACTTTGGAAGTTAGAAGCTGCTTCAGGCCGTTTACTTGCCCACAACCAAAAATCGATTGCTGAGGTGCCTTATGTCCAGCGCGAACATGCTGTTTTGGAGTTTTTTGCTGCTCTTGGACCTGCATTTGGAGCCTGAAAGGTTTGCAGTTGTAAGGTTCACGGACTAAGCTTTGAAGTTTGAAGCAGGGAAACAGAACTGAGGCTTTGTCTTTATCTGTGCCGCATCGTGGGTTCTTCTCCCCTGGCTACAACCACCATGGCCAATTCTACTTCCAAGCCAAATCAGGCCTATCAAGGTTGAATTCATTGGATGCCGCAGTTTACACTCTGCAGTCACGAGTTATGGAACGGCAAACATACAGAGATAAGCAAGTGCGGGAATAATCTTTTGAAGATGATGTCACTTTCAGCTTTAAAGTACAGCTGCCTTCATTACGACTGGACAGATGAGCCAAGAACTTAGAGAGGCTCCCGTTTGTATCAGCCATGGCCGATTTTGAGGACAAGCTACAAGCAAACCGAACCCTAATCGCAAAGCCTTACACCTTGCAGTCAGCACGCTTCCAGCGAATTCCTCCTATGTATTTCCCCATTATCGCCTCGGATACTGTGATTGCTGTCATTGTAAGTCATTGCTACCATTACATCGACATAAGCCATTGCTAACATTACATTGACCTCAACCCGAAACCCTGAACCTTCAACCCTCGGCTAGTGGTCTGGCGGTTTGTACCACGTGCTGGGATCCAAAACATTGTTAAGAACAAACACAACATGATGGATGTTTCAGTAGATTTTGTGTGATTACGGTAGAGTAGCTAACGGCTGACCTCTTCTTCCGGAAGAGCCACGCACTACGATACGCCAAGCCTGACAAATAGTTGACATGCAGTCTGACTGTCCTGCAATCTTCATGGGTTACAAACTGAACATATGCAAGGCTAATTCTTTAAGCCCAAATCCTCCAACAGAAGTCATCTTGACTCATGACCAAAGTCAAGAGCCCGATAGCTTCCCCTGATTCTATGGACCAGGGGATGTGCAAAGGTTAACTCTTGTCAAAATGAGAGCTGGCGAGGCTGTGTACGGGCAAGTTTTGAGTTAGGTTCCAGCAGGATTCAGAACGATGAGTTGAGCATAATACAACATTGCATCAGACTCAGGTTGACTTTCGTGCAGTGCGTGGCGGGCTTGGTCATCAGCACGCTTGTCCTCGACTTCATCGCAGACCCGCCGACCACTAAGTTAAGGGAAGGATGTTAAGTGCTTAGATCGTACGATTCAGGTTAGGGGGCAGTGTTTTAGTGTTACGTTTACTGTTGCTTCCCTTCTTCTTCTTTTCCTTCTGCTACTGAAGAGGATAGTAGTAGTAGTAGTAGTAGTAGTAGTTGTTGTTGTTGTTGTTGCAGTGACAATGGTCGCAACCGTTGGAGTAGAAGGAGCAGGAGCAGCAAGCACAAAAATCAAGGGAAATACATTCAAGACAAGTGGCAATACCGTAAGTTGATGCAGACGGCTGGCACCCTTTGATTGGCGCAAAGAGTTTATGATTTTCGCTAGTCCGCGGATGAGGGCTAGATCCCGGGTGGCCATGATTCATAAAATCAAGAAAACCAGACAAATAATGTCAAAAGAAGACAAGAGACTACCAAAAAAAAATAAAGAATGCAAACAAGTGATCATTCCAAAATAGAACACGGAAATGTATGTCTGTTTTCAGCATGCAGGGTTTGGTGTTCGAAGACAAATGCCAACGAATCCCAGGCGTCTGCAATTGTCAAGTAAGGATCGACAAAAAAGACACATGTTGACAAAGCTTGACATTGCTGGTCTTTTGATACTGCATGCTACTTTTAAACGTGCACCCCGAGGACTAGACCTAATCGCCAGGCCAATGGTCACACATGTTATACACAGAGTGATTTCCTTGCATGAGCAGAGTATTGGACATCCACATATCCTCAGGCCAATAAATAGATCCTAAGAGGTTGATCGCCCTTAGGGTTCCTAGACGCTTCCTAGATGTTGCACAACGGTGCCAGTTCTTCCAGCCTAATAGATTACGGGGCGTCTAAGGATAGGTTGGGGACCTATTCAGAAGTCAGCGTGGGCGCCTTGAAAAGCATATAGCCCCTTGAAGAAGCCGAGGTCGGTTGACGTGGCTCTGAGAGAGGAAGTCTTCCTTCTTTATGGCACATTTTCCAGGAACCGCAAGAATCAATTTGGGAGTTTAGGGGTTTGGGAGTTTCGGGCTTTAGGTTTAGGGAGTCTCCTACAGGTCAGTGCGGGTTTGTACCTGTGCTATGCAGCGATGGCTTCGGGATTCTAGAAATGGCATTATGACCTAAAACTGTTAGGAGGTGCTGGGGCTTGCCGCTTTCTTTATGTAAAGCACGCGTATATCTTTGGGAAAGTTGCTTGGGAACATCTGTGAACTACCAGACTACGGTTGAGGGCACAGTGGTTTCATACCAGAAGTACGGGATGATGCGGCAGAACCATCGCAAACCAGATAACCCTTGTGCAACCCTGATGAACTCCGTTCAGGCACTTTGCAAGTTGCTTTTGCGGGTGCTTCTTGCGTGTGACGTTCTCAAAGGTACAACACAAAGTGAAAAAGGACCATACAGGGATGCCTTCAGGGGTCGATTCTGATATTGCCTTTTTTTGAAACCACAAGCCTGGTAATTGCTCATTGTCCCTAAACCCTAAACCTAAACACCCTGAACCCCCACAGAATGGGCATCTGGAGTCGCTCCAGGGGACTCATACCAAGCCCCACACTCAACTTGAACAATGCTGGAGTCTGAATCATAAGGATATAGTCCCCCTTAAGTAGACAGAACATGGCTTTGGGTATACTATAACAAGATCCCCATATACCCCATATTCGATCTACTTCAAGGGGGACTATAGGGTCTTGGACTCCAGTATGGTTGTTCAGGCGTCTGCATTATTCGTGAATACAGCTTAGGCATGCGTGCTGGTTTTGTCGGGTGCAGATACATGCAGACACCCATGTCCTTCGCGACTGATCCTGTACGCTAAAAGGTGTCCATTGTATTTTCCATTCCCCTACATACCCTTACATAACCATTTTTGGGCAAGAAGATAATCTTGAAATCCCCTACATGCACAGGGTCGCTACAGGCCCTTGAGGAGCCCCGAAATTTCAAGACATAGCGAGGCCGTAGCTTGACTTTGCCGCCTATGCCCTCAATCTACGCGTCTTCTACTGTCACTGTATCTCTAAGTCTTAAGATCCCTCAAACTTTCAGTTGCTGAATGCAGGAGAGAGTTTAGCCAATGCGCACCCAAGACCCCCAAAAGCAAAAAAGACCTTGCCGCAGGACGTTCCTTACCATGCTTCTTGGTTGGTGTTGAGTTGTTTTAATGTGGGCATTTCCAAAATTATGGGTCCACGTAAAATAGTAATTTCATTAAAAGGGCTGCCAAAAAGGACCCCTGAGTTTTGGAAACTCCCATGCCTTTGGCTTATAAGAGGAGAGGAGAAGAGCACATGGACTTTGAGCCTCTGAGCGTTGAAGGCCCCATGCTGAACTGGCTTGACAGCAACAAACTTCTAGGCCAGAATTGGACATGCCTTGTATGTCCTGTTTGTAGTGGTTCTGTTAGAGGCGACAATCCCGCTGCCAGGAGAAAGCAAAAAGCCTCTCAAGTTCGCTGTGTATGCAAAGAACTGTCTGTGGCGAGTTTTCAGACATATGTTTGAGAAGCCCGAAGCCTTAAACTTCAACGCCAAAAACATAAATTTTGAAATTTGGAACAAGAAGAACACGGCAGTCTTAAACCCCAAAACTTCTAAATTTGGACTCCAAACCTTTTCTACACCACTGGCTCACAAGCAAAGCTACAGGTTTGAAGTGCTTTTCGCTGCTTGGTTCATATTTGGGATCGTTTTGGCTGTTGGGTCTTTGAAGAGCGTCAGCACAAAACTTGAAGTTTAAGGTATAGAGAGTTTGCCGTGCAAGTTTCGGGTTTAGGGATTAGGGTTTGAGGTTTTTCGCGTCCTTCTATGCCAGTACCCTGCAACTTTCCAATCGCTCCTCAAACTTATGGATCTGCTTTGGGTTGCTATTACGGTAAAGGCTGTCCAACTTGGGAGAGCATGGAAGGGGGCTGGGTTGAAGAGATCCCTTTCGCGCTTTTATTCAGTTTGAGGCTTCTGACAGATCTGCCAAAAGCTTTGCCAGCCCGAACCCTCAGCCCTAAAACCCTGAAATCCTAAACCCTGCTGCTCCTGCATAATCCTGTTACTAGAGTTGTAGTTATGAAGACCCCAAACCTCATAAACCCCCTGTATAGCCCAGTTTCCCCATCATGTTCGATGTTTTTGTCCATTTGATTTGCCACTGTTATCATTATTTAGGACCCCAGAGTTAGCGCCTCAGGCAAATTGGGGCCCAGCCTGCAGAGTACTGATGGAGAATGCGACTTCCTCGGCTGTTTGGTATTAGGGTATTAGTGCGGGCAAGGGAATTGAAGAATTATAACAGCGTACTTATATAGAATTGATGATAGGGACTCACTGCTAGAAGTGTTCTCAAACAGCTTTAGTCTTCAAAAGCAGCTGATATGCAGCATGCCTAGCAGACCTCTAGGAAATCTGGAGTTTGTAGGTGTGAATGCTCTCCTGTACTTTTTCGGTGTGAAGCTCTAAGTTTCAGATAAGGTTTTGGGTGGCAAGGTTTGCAGCGTATCAGGGTTTAGGAAATACTTCCACCTTAGAGCATGATAATGACATTGTTTGCTAGTCTTTCCAGCATTTTCACGTTTCATTGAGTTTGCCTAATATGCAGCGAGCCGCGAGATGAGAATTTCAGGCCGAGAACTGCACTTTATTGCTTAATTCTGGTGCGCGTGTGCGAAACTTAAAAGATCTGACTGCGTCTTACTATCATATTCCTTCTTGGGTTGTGGGGTTGTGTGTTGATTGCTGGTGTGGCTTTAGAGCTCAGTAGGGTATTGTGCTTCCAGCGCTGCACGGTGCACGGCATCCTTAATTGTTCAGGATTGGTTCGTCGTTTCATGCATTTATCCAGTCCATGCTGAGTCGTAAGAAAGCTGACCGTGGTTTCCCAAAAGAGACGGACCCTTGAGTTTCCCTTAAGGTGTTGTAGGCATGCATTCATGTATACGAGTGTTGTGTTATTGTCAATGTCATTGGTCTTGTCATTCTCTTTATCATACTGCTCTTTGTTCGTGCTTCTTATTCTCATAGCGGTTATCATGCCCCTCTCCTTTTTGCTTGGGCTTGCGCTTCTTTCCTGCTGCTTGTGTTGTGTTGTTATGTGTTATGGCTGGGCTCGCGGTTGTGGTTGTAGCTGTTGTTTTTGGTGGTTGGTGGTTGGTTGCTGTTTCTGCTGTTGCTGCTTCTACCCCAAGAAGACCCGGCTAGTCCACGGGCTTTTGCTGGCCCACTCCGAGGCACTCAGGACGGTCAAGCAGATGTTCCCAAGCAACAGCAGGCACAGCGTGTACCTGGATGACCGCTCGTGGAACGGTCATTTAGACGTGGCACAAGTTGGGAAAAAGGGGATCCGGAAGCTAGGCCTCGAATCTCAGCAAAGCAGACTTCAGCTGTACCGGAAGGGTTCAGCAGCTTCGCGACCTCCAGAGCAGGCTTCCCCAGGATGAGGGCCATGTTCAGGCCACCCGTGCCAGGTGATGGCCACTACAATGTGCACATGCACGAGCCATCCCTTCCAATGTTTTCTAAGCAGCTTGCAGTTTGGGTGTGGGCTGAGGAAAAATAAATGAAAAAGTTTGATCTCGAAGACTTCAAAAGTTGGGCAGCTTTTCACAAGTTTCCGTACCGTCGTAGGTAGGATTCCGTGGAGCCATGCATGGAGCAGGTAGTGCACGTTGCAGCGGGTGCTTTCCACACTAAGTTTTTGTGCGCTGGCTGTGATTTATGTTAGTACACTGGTTTGCACAAGCTAGGGACAGCGGTGCTCTCCGCAGGTAAGGGGCCGCTGCTGGCAAACTTTAAACGCGCTTCTGAGCCACCTGCACATTAAAAAAAGTTTAGTGCGTCACCGAAAGCTTTTTTGACGACGACGCTTGAAAGCCACTGATGCGGAAAAATTGTGGAAGCGGTTGTAGAGTTATGGTTAGTTCTTTTTTGTGAGGTTTGGTGTTGAAGGTCAGGTTCAAGGAATTTTGGAATGCTTGAAGCTGCTTTGTAGGTTCAAAAGCACCCTGCAGCGTTGTTTCAAGTGCATCGTGCTATGTGACATGCTGCTAGGGCCGGATTGTGGTGGGTAGCTTTCATTTTTAATACGGCAGCTAAGCTAAGCTAATTACTCAAAATGATCATAAATCGGTGTTCAAAACATTAGCGTTCATGAGTCTGCATGGCAATTGGGAGCCGAGGTTTAGAGCAGTCAGCAACTACGTTAAAAGCAAGCCCTGAAAAAAAGCGCGGCGCTTAAAGCGGCGATGCACGTGGCGTGCAAAGCTTCATTTCTCTGATTTTATAGTACCCGTTTAAATAGCACCGCGCCCGGCTATATGAGCAGATATTCATCGTGCTATAGCTTGGCTTGATTTCCATAACAACTGAACTGCTTAATGCAGCACGACTTCTACTCCTGTTCTTTCTCCTCCCCGTTGCTGCAACTGCTGCCGCTACTTGTCTTCTGCTGGTCGGAGGGCAGCGGAAGATGACAGGTGGGACCAAACTTGGGAGGGGTTCGACCCGACCGAGTCGACAATGTTTACAACAGGTTGGCGAGTTTGTGTACGGCTTCAATACCCACATGCTTCAAGACTGAAACTGTGCAAACCCGAACTACCAAACCGAAGCTTAACCCAAAAGCAACAACCCCAACAACCAAACATTAGATGTGGCTTTGGGATGTAGGACTTTGATACTGCTTGCTACTCGGATCAGGTCAGCGAATGGTTTTCGTTGTTCTTCCTGTTGTACCGATGCGTTCTCGGACCCTTGTCTGCAATGCGAAGAGAAAATCTCAAGGCGCAGTGACGTGTCTCAAACGAGCAAGTTCCTGTCTTTGTAGCCCCGCACGATACGCACATTCCTTCGCGTAAGGATGCGGGCGTGGAATCCCTCACTTTGAAAAACGTTGGTAAACTGCAGTTATTCGAGCAACTGCATCATGATCATCATCGTGTATCTTGTTGTGTTGCCTGCTAGTGCTTCATGAAGGAAACTCAGTTGAGTAGCGGGTTTTTTTGTTCTGGCAATATTGTGGTCTCCGACAACTAAAGGAACATGTGTTTACTTGGTTAAACCACCAAAACACGCTGCCCAATTGACTAGTGCAGTGTGCATCCAATGCCTGGACCAGCATGTCGGACCGGGTTCTTGTTTTGGGGCTGAGGGGATCGCCGCATGACCGGCTTCAAATCCATCATGGGACTCCTTGCGCCCTAAACTTAACCTCGTTCCACAAATTTGAATTTGACTAGCCTGTGTGGTGCCCAAAGGCAAGGTTGAAGATATCTTGGCTTTTGGTGGAAATAGCCTACAGCTCCAGGATGTAAGGCTGTAGAGATTGAGATGGGGGTCCTTGCACCATGGACTCCTACAGGCAAAGGGAGAAAAAACGGCCGTACATCTTGCCTCTCAACCGGGAAGGATGGACCCAAAGCGCGAAAATTCTGTGACAGCAGGCCGATTCTGAACCCTAAATCCAAAACCCTGAACTCCTTTGGCAGAAGCCGCAAGTGCCACAAAAGCATTGTGAGGATGCAATCGCAATAACCAGCTTCACTGCATCACTGAAGCTGAAGAAACGTAAGCCTGTCAGAGCCGCTGCATTTTTAGGCCTTCATGGGTTGAGGCTCCTGCACTGGACGGCTTCAGCTTTGCTACCTAGGTTTTAGGGCTTGGTGCTAGGGATCTATGGTTTCGTGTTTAGGTCTTGGGGGTTAGGTTTGGCGCCCATGCATTTTTGAACTTGCTGGTATGTTCACGCTCAGCACAGGATTTGTTTCGGTGGGGTTTCCTTCTGAGGTTTCCCAACAGCTGGGTTGCAGTATGTATTTGGGGGCATATGAAGAACCTATTCTTAAGCCGATTTGGGATTTTTCCCTTTTGGAGCTGATGCTAAGCGCAGCCTTTGCTGGCGTTTGGTTTTGAAAGCTGCATTTGGCAGCGCACTAGCTGCTGAGAGCGACACGGAATCAATTCAGGCTAAAGCAGCTTCGGACGTTGGTCATCAACAGCAAGGCTAGTGGCAAAAGCATCAAGAATGTGGCCAGGGCATCAACAAGCTGAAATAAGCTTTCAAACACAAAAGCATAGGATTCGCCGTCTTAAACATTATCAATGCCGTCTTCGTCCAGCGTCTTGGTGGGCATACTTTGGTGTTTGAGCTTGAGGGGAACTTACGCTTCAGGGTTTGACGTTTGGATTTACTACTTGGGCTTCGTGTTTGTTTGTGGTTTAATTTGAGAAGGAAGTTAGTTTGCGTTGGCTCGGCATTTGGGTTTTGTGTTTGCAGCTTGAAGCCTGGGATCCCAAATCCTGAGCCAGATGCCGCGCACACACCCCGGCCCGCGCCCCTAAACCGCAGCATCAAAATCTCGTCAGGAAAGTGGAGAAGAAACCAGAACAGTTCGCAGATGCTGTGTCTGTAAACCTTTGTGTTGACGCGGTGTCGGACAGAAGAGAGCAAAAAAGATCAGGGAAGGGAAACAGTAGCATGGCTTCAGGGTTTCCTGCTTGGAGATCATTTCATTGCCGGGTAAGTCTAAGCGGCGGAAGGCATGTTATTTCCTTCCTCAGGCATCATGTGAAGAAATGCGCCGAGGGCTGTACCAGAGGACGCTGCATGTGACAGATACCCACTTCTTTATTGAGAGCTCCCAACAGGAAGCCAAACTGCAAGAAAGGCTTCAAAAGCATAACGAGGCAAATGCGCTACTCTGGACACCCCAACTTGAAGCTTCAACCTTACATGACTGAATCCCGGATGGTAGTTTCTTGCCCTCGACTGAAGAGTGGAATCTGCTTCGAGGCAAACCATGAAAACTGCAAGCTCGGACGAAGAGATCGCGTTCAAACAAAAAGAGAAGGCGGCATTGGCAAGTCTGCAGGTTTAGGTTTGGCTATCTAAACATATTGGATTGGCCGACAACTGGGTGCTTCCACAAGGAGGCCCCCTTTTGTACACCAAAATATTACGCTTGTCCTTCCCACCACACATAAACCTTCAAATTTTCGGAAAGTCCCAACTGTGCGGAATGGATTACGTAGTGGGACTAGGGTCCGTGTTTGCCACCTGTGGGGTTTCTGATAACAGGGGCGCTTAGGGTATAGGATTGGAACAGGATTCTGGGGCGTTCTTCTAAGGAGTATGTAGAGCTAATTTTCGGAAGCGCTTCTCTTGAGTGGGAACCGGAAACAAAGTGGAGAACATCCTAGTAGAATTCCACAGCAACCCCAGCTGCCAATCCAGAACTGGATTTGAAGTTGTTGCTCAAGGATTAGGATCTGGGGTTTGAAGGACTTCAGGGTTAGGCTTAGGTTTTGGGATGACCTTTAGTAGGCATGTTTAGAAGGATGCCGTCTTTAGCATCGTATGCGCTGCGTCCTGACCAGAGTAGTCCGCTTACAAGGTGTGGGGTTTTATGCTGGTAGTGTAACGGGAATGGGCGATAGTCTATACAAACATATGTATATATGTATATCTCTCTCTCTCTCTGTCGAGAAACATCTTTGACCCCTGCTTCAGATCCTCCCTTAAGCCACCAGTAAGATTGCGGCTTTGGGTTCCAGATTAGCATGTTCAATGAGTGCAGGGCTTGGGGATTACGAGTTTGATAAAAGCTCCATGTCCTTGTTTGCAATTGTGCGCCTGAGGCTTCGAATGTATCCGACATGCCCCAAAAAATCCGAGCCCAAAGGCAACAGATTACTTCAAATACACAGGGTATGAAGACCAGTCTTAATAGCAATCGCATTTTCGCGAAACCCGCGCGAAGCCTCAGCAAATCGCTCTCCTAATAGAATTCGGTTGAGTTTTTCAAGCCTGAGAGATACTTGTAAATGGGATCCGGTATTGACCTGTTCCAGAAATTGCAGGATATCCAATCCTACACCAGCTGCTTGACTGCTGACGAGAACGATTTGATGTTTGAGTGTATGTAGTTCTGGTTCGGGGGGTTGATGGTATTACGACTTCCCAACAGCAACGCTGACCTTGCACCCAGAAAACTACAGAGTCGTCCTCAACTGGGATATAGGCAGGTAGAGAATAAGGTATGGTTTCCCCAAACTTTCAATGTTTCTCACGATGTGCCTGTGCGCCAAGAATGACGACACGTGCGTTCTAGCAGACGCAGGAGAGTTGACTCCTTTTTGCCAAAGCGTGCACAGTGCTTCCACAAAGACTGTAGCTTAGCGTAGAGCTGCCCCTCTTGTGCTGTTCACACAGCAGATTTCGGGGGCAACAGTAAGCAGCAAGTAGAACCAGGAATCAGGTCTACCTTGCTGGGGCAACACCTTCCCAAACCCCATAGCCTCATATCCAGATCTGCAGCCCCTAAACCTTTGACCCATCCGCAGTTCGATCCCTGCCTCCGCAAGTTAAGGCGAGGGCCTTGGGGCATGGTGTTTTCAGCATTGAGGTCCACATTATTTTCAGAGACGAACCCACAAAGCCACCCATAAATTTGATAACAGTTATATATGCAGCACCCCAGGAAAAGTCAAGAAGCTATTCCAAACGATGGATGCAAGTGGCGATGGCGCCATTAATCTTGCTGATGCATGGCCAAACAAAGTTTATGGTTTGTTTTTGGATTTAATTGAGTTCCTTTGAAATTACATGTCTGTGGGCTAGCAAGCTGAGACTTGGATTTGGGGATGCACGAGCAGCAGGTTCAGGATGTGAATCTCAGGGCTTGGTGATGTCTCGGGTCCGCACGCTTGGTTTCATCTGTTCATGCCCAACTTTTAGTTTTCACTGAACCCCAAACCCTGCAAACTGGTACGCTGAAAGCTCATCCTTGTCCATAGTCCCCCTTAAGTAGATAGAATATGGCTTTGGGTATATCATAGTAAGATCCCCATATACCCCACATTCTATCTTCTTAAGGGGGACTACAGGCCCCTGAACACATTGTCTGGAGTGCGTAGAGCTCACGCCCAAAGAAAGACCCGCAACTGTACAGATGTTTCGGCATTCATCGAAATAAGAGGCTGCTGGTTCACTGGCGGGTTCGTGCTTCGGGTATTGTAGGTGCCCCACTGAACCTCATGTCCTTTGATTGTGCGTCCGACGTTCCTTCCTCGAGAATCGAAGTCCCACATTTTCGAGCAGCCTTACCCTAAGCCCGAATCCGTAGACACCTTTGAGCCCAAGGAATTTTCGAAGCTTGTGCAGTCTCCAAAGCTCAAGTTCTGGATGGGTCAGCTCGAGCCACTTCACTGCCGAAGAGTACCAGATAGCTTTTCCTCCAGTACATGGCTCCTCCAAAATCTGCGCCCGAAACCTTATGCATGGAAGCTTCTTGTTGGGGCAACGCTAACGGCTGAGGGGTGCATGGCCCGTTGGTACATGGAGTTCCTTTCCTGACGGCAACACAGCTAACAGTTGAAAGAGACGATATTCCCATGACTCCGTTCATTTTGTAAGACCCCTGAGAATTTCCAAGTTTCTCTTGTTGGGCTGCCAGTGGATGTCTGTTGAAATGAACTTAAAGTGGGTGGGTTCTAGAAGATCCCACACCCTAAACAGTCCAAACATGAACTCCACTTCTTGAGGTTTGGAGCACAGGGTGCAAAGTCCTACTAGCAATCTTTACTTGGTTGCGTGTGCTGCGTTCTTAGGAACTGAAGGCATAGTCCCCGGCAGTCTACAGGGCAAAGTTCCAAGCAGACGAATCGAGGCGGGAAAAATGAGATTTATCATGGCCACAACCAGCGATTGGATCTTTATCCCCGGATCCTGTTCTAGTGAAGCCATCACCGGCAAAGCAGGTGGAAGCCGATCAGCATGCTTGTTCCCCAATTTGGCAACTGCAAGAAAACTACTGCCAAGGTTAGAGTACCACGACTTGCTGAGTCTGTTCGAGTCGCTAGGCAATTAGTGCTTCAAGGATTTAGGGATGCGGAGTTTCTCAACATTTGAAGGGTGTAGGGCTCAGGCTTTGAGATGTTAACGTCGCCTTTGCCGGAAGAAACAGTACGAACCTTGAATGTTAGGCCATAGAACCACGCCCTAAAACTCAAGTTCGCACAATGAGACGATCCTGCCATGCTTTGAAGATTTGGGCCTTTAGCGCTTGGGCGGATTGCGGGGGTCGGTGGGCTTTGGGAAGCAGCAACTTGATCGTTTCGAACTTCATAGCATGGATGCCCAAGGATGAAGGGTTCAAGGGTTAAGGGTTCAGGCTTTAGGCGGGGGTGTTGAGAATTTCCAGCAGCTGCAGGTTCGGGTCTTCTGAACTGATTTGGAGTCATTCCGAAACGGTTCGTGTTGTATTAGGCTCCCAAAACCCAAGTTGTGCCAAAGAAGCCCTCAGGCCTCAAAGAACAGATTACCGCTGGCAAACCTCTTTGTGTCCTCGGATGAGCGGAACCCCAAACCTGGGTTGAGACACTTTGGGGCTTGCACCCCCAAATCCAGGAAAGCAGCAAAGTGTGAGGAGTTTTGTAGAAAGGTTCCACTACGAAAGCCAGCTTTATTGCCTGCAATGTAATCTAACCTTATCTCCACATTGAGGTGCCCCTCGCGAGCCTATCGTTTAAGGTCATTTTGAGATACTGCCATTCCAATCTTTGCTTACACCTGTATCCAATCAGTCAAGAGCCTGACCATGGCTCTCATGAAAAGCTGGGGCCAGCCACATTCCGGAACCGTGGGTAATCACCTTCACCTGATACTTAGCAATCGCCTGCCCTCTGGTCTTAAAAGTCTTCCCCTCAGGGTGGGACGTTATGTATTGAACATCGGGTGTGACAAGCGGGGGTGCTGAGTGCTAGGGGTAAGCCATTACTTTCAGGCTGACACACCCTATACCTTAAACCCGTGAACCGGCGTATCCCTCTGCTCCACAGTCCGTAAGGTTCCTGGATAATGGAGATGGTGAAATCACTTTAATGGTGCCTTGGCGTTTGGATGGCTCCAATGGACTTAGGGTTAACATCCGGCTTAGGGGACATTGGGCTGAGGGTTTATGATGAAGGGAGGAGATTGTGCTTGGTCTGAGCTTACACCGCGTGAGCCATGGTCAAGCATCCTTACCAAGAGAGCTTGGACTGCCTTCCATTTCTTCAGGGCTGTTTGGGATCCGTGTTTTCACCTCGGCAAAATGTGGCGTGTCTTAAAGGTCGGGATCTCTCCTGCACCGATGCAGCGCCCGGATTTCTCATAGATTTCACCGCTTTTGCAGTTGTGGATTGTCTTTTCGTGCTATGGTGGCAGGGGGGTTTAGAAATTGACTGCTTACCCCTTGTCATTCTGTTTGACATTATTGCTTCAGAGGGGAAGTCCATGTTTATCATGGCTTGCTATATTTTGTCTATTGACTTTCCTGGCTTCCAATTCCGCAGCTACATCGAAACAGTCATCTAACCCAAACGCCAAAATACCAAACCTGGCCGAGCAATCACAGAGTATCAGGCAGAAGGCCTTCCAAGTAGAATCCTGATAAACGTTGGGATCCATGTTCGGGGCCTCTAGTGTTTTTGGCGTGGTTGAGGCATCTGCCACATTTAAGGAAAAGGTTTCTGCAAGTAAAGGCAGCTGAGATTTGTCTTTTTGGATAGATGACGCTTGTAGGAGAAAAGTTAATAGCATCAGCAGCTGCTGCTGCTGCTGCTGCGTTCGGCCTCCTTTGCTTCTATGTCCCGTGGGGAGCTTTCCCAAAAAAGGCGTCCAGCATGCTAATATCCTATTTGCGAAATCTTCAAAAAAGCAATGCTTGACAAACTCCCATCGGCCCACGGCTTCGGCATTCTGACGACGCAGGTTCTTTCCTAGGAGTAAACAGCATGCCATGATATCTGGGTTTAGGGTTATGCTGGGCATGCTCTGGGGTTCATTGGTTACAGAGCGCTTGGGATATCCCTCTGAGAAGCTGCAACAGGGTTCGCAGGAATCCGTGAAGATCAAAGTTAGGCACACCCTAAGCTCTCTGATCATCTGATTCCTCTCTCCTTCAGGAATTCATCGAGGGTGCAGCCCGTCTGCGGGGCAGTGCGGCTTGCCGTCAATTTGCATTTTTCTGCAACGGCTTAGGGTTCCAAACACTAAGCCCTCTTGTTTTAAGGCTTCAAGGTTGGTCTGCCTCCAAATTCTCCATATTCCATGTATGTTTGTTGGTGCAAGATGTAGGGATGAGGCTATGTTCCCGGGATGTTGTCCACGGCAATGTGAAGATAAGCAGACCTGCAAATTTCGTTTTTGGCATGTTGTGCAACGGCTTGTTTTTGATCCCTAGGAAGTGGTGCTACTAAAAGCAAAATCGATCTTTTCGAGTTTCTGGACAACTAAGTACCCACATCTTGGATACCCTCACTTGCTTGGGAAGCAAGGATTTCTAAGAGAAACAGCTTGAGCGCTAGGCCTTAACAAGAAGCCTTCGTAGACTCACCCCAAACCCTGAGCCCTGAAACCTTGAAAGGTGAGTCCTGCATCATCCCTTTTCTCTACGCCTCATGCAGATAGTATTTACAGAGCTATATAGGGCCCGCCCAAGAATCATCTAGGATGCCTGCAGCGTCTATCAAAATCAGTTTTTGTAGAGTGTTTCAGTGTGTGGACTTTAAATCATTCGAGGCGAAGGCCCTGGACATTTGGCGTGTGGAAACCAAAGTTGAGGCACCCTTTTGGGGGTGTTTTGAGCGGATGTTGCTGGTAAGTGGTAGCAGTAGTGACCTTGTACTGTAAGCCTTTGCCTGGTTGAAGGAGATGCTATATGGGGATCCTGAAGGGTTGGCGGAAGAAGTGCATTGGGAGAATAGTACTGTCTGGGAAGTGCATCCATCAGACTAACACTACGCCCCCCCCCCCTTTATTTGCCCGCGGCAAATGCCCGCTCATGGCAATGTGCTGCGTATAGCAGTGTTTTGGTGGTTGTGGATGTGGTCGAAGTGAACGTTATTATTGGGTGCCGGCATGGATTCACTTGTTGTGGATGTGGTCGAAATGAACGTTATTATGGGTGCCGGCATGCATCGCTAGTATCTTG